AAATGATCAAAAAGAAAATTATGCAAGAAATAGATAAAATAAAAGAAAAAATATATATTGAATTTTTTTATTTATATTTTTTTCGTTTTTTAATAAAAGAAAAACACAAATCTAAAAATTAATACAAAAATAAAATTAATGAAAGAAAAATACGCTGCAAAAATAAATAAAATAAAATAAATGAATTTTTGTATTTCTTTTTTTTTGTTTTTTATCGAAATAAAAGGTAAAAAATGAATCTAAAATTTAAAGCAAAAATAGAATAAAATGAAATAAACAAAAGAAAATTATTCTGCAAGAAATAAAATAAAATAAGCAATTTTTTTTTAATCTGAAATAATAGAAAAACACAAACCTAATAAAGCAAAAAAAATCAAACCAGAAATTAAAATAAAGAAAATTCAAAAAATTCAAAAATAACTATTCTATAAAAAAAAGAGTTTGAAAATAAAAATAATAAAATTAAAAATAAAATGGAACGACTACACCAGAAACGCAATCCAATTTCTCTTCTCTTCTCTTCCGTCCTGCAATCCCGCAACACTCCGGTACCCCACCTTTCGCTATTCCATCCTACAGAATCAAAGAGAAACAAGAACTACACTGAGATATATGATCAAGTAATAAAACGAAAAAAAAAAATAATGAAGCATATTCGGAAAAAGTAAATAAAATTTTTTCTCCGTGTCTCCTCGGCAACGGTGCCAAAAACTTGGTGTGTCCGGAAGCGCGTCGTTAAACACTCCAAAACACCAGTTTAAACATTTATAATTTTTACCATTTCTCAAACAACTATTAACGTAGTAAATGGGTGAGAACGGGTCGTATCCATAGGGAAGCAAGTGAAAAATTAATATATACTTAGATCCGGACAAGATAATGCATTCGGGAATGGCAAAAAATACGAAAATAAAATCTATTATTGCTGAAAGTAAATGTTTCAAATTTAAACAAGACAATAAATAAAAATCAGAATTTAATAAAGTATGGGAATCAACAAAGGAAATAAAAGAAATAAATAAAAAAAATAATCCAAAATCTGGATCCGGTGGTGG